CCGGATTAGCAGCTCCTTATCTTCACAAGGTGGAAAAAATGACTAAATTAGCCTGGAAAAGCAAATAGTTCCTGGCACGCGCTGCGGCCCGTTGACGACCGCCCTAATCAACTGCCCGGATGACGAGTATATTTGCTCGTCGCTTTGAAACGGGAGGTCTTTTTGCCATGAAATTCCTCATCGATAAAAAATGCCCTGAAATATCTCACATTGTCCCCTGATGTCTCATGACTGTCATTATTTCGTGGAACAAAATGGAGCTTTGGAATCTGAACCGCATGCCAAGAAACGCGGAACCTCTCTGGCATGAAGGAGTTGGTTTGCCCACTCCAGATCGCTTTCTCGTCCCAGGTAAACTCCTCATTAATCAGCGCTAAGTGAAGAGAACATGAAATAACGCAGGAAATGGCGGTTGGAATGGGAACTGAGGTGAGACGCACTTTTCTCATCACTGACGGTGTGATGAGATGTCGCCCATCAAGGCGCGTCGCACATTGGGAAACCTCTGCGGGGTCGTTTCGGGTCGCTGGAGGGGAAGGTCCGACCCGATCTGGGATAACTTTTTCTTATTGCTGGTCTTCCCATTACAAACGCGCTACGGCCTGTCTTTCCCGCAGGTCGTGGTTACTTTACAGGGCATGTTTTGCCGCTGAGAAAAAATTTTCGCAAGTCACGCACCCTCTGGAAAGTTCCTCTTTCGGTACGAACCCCCCCCCTTTACCTACCGCCGTTTTTCCATGCCAAAAGCACCTCCTTCTCAGGTTTTTTCCAAATCCTTCTGCCGCTTGCTCAGAGACGTTTTTTCAAGTTTTTGTCCCCAGAAGCGTGCTTTGTAGCGACGACAAGGCACATCATTGGTTGGGGATTTTAGTCGAGTCCACAAGCCCCCTCCCCTTTTTTGGGAGGGGGGGTTGGTACGACCTCCCCCCCCCCTCCTCCGGCCCTCTGCCCCTCCTCATCGAATGGAGCATCGTCGACGGGGGGGGGGAATCAGATACCGACTCTTCCCCGTCCCAAAGTGAGCAAGTATGACCTCCCCCTGTTACAACGTCCGTGAAGCGAGAAAATCAACTATCAGAACGACTTTTCCTCAGCCGAAATACGACCTCCCCTCCCACCTCTCCTGGCGACCAAGTACGACCTCCCCGTGTGGGAATTCCCCAACAACGATGTGCCCTGAGACGAAGTGGTGGGTAAATTTATAGCGTGCGTGCAACGGGAAAAACCGAGGAACTTCAACAGTCGGAAACATCTCTTTGGAAGACACAGACGGACAGACACGACTCCCCTCTCTCCAGCAACTGAGCGACCAGATAAGAACCTCACTTGCTTGGGATCTTCATGTGTGCCTCATTATCTTAACAGATAGCAACATTTCGCGAAATGTGGAGCGCTAGACGTTGGTCGAAGAGAGAGTTCGTACTGGAAGGAAATGAATTGGGGCAGGGGTCGTATTTGGCCGACAGGCGTACTCACAGTGTCATGCCTTGAGGCTTTGGATACTGAACTTGAAGAGCATTTCGGTGCTTTCCCTAAGGCCCTCCTCCTTCCTTTATAACATTTTCAACACGTCCGCTTCCTCCTGAACCGAACGCATTAGCAGTCGGATAGCAATCGTTTGTGTGGAACACATAGCGAGATCGTAGCTTAGTCGCTGAGGAGGAGGGGTCGTAATTTGGTAGTTTTTGTCAGTACGACCCCCCCCCAGCTGGACGGAAAAACCTTTGGGTGAAAAACTGAAAATGTGGGAAATCGGTAGGTAGGTGTTAGGGAGGAGAGGAGGGTCGTACTAACAACGCCATTTTATGCATCATGATGCTGTACCTTACCCGTCTCTATTTTGAATATTAAATTTCTTCTGAAAAAAAACAATGTTTGAATAATTTCATGAGAATTTTTCTGCTGTAGATTCATCTGTTCAGAGTAATCCATTCTGAGATGTCAGTGAGAATGAAGTTTGTTTCAGCTCGGCAGTTGGGCGGAACGGACTGGTTGGCAATTTGACGGCCGTTATGCAAATAAGTGGGAGTTCGACATCGACCCAGATGCAGACGATCTTGCTGGACTTCACTTGCGAGTGGTCGTATACCTGGTGAGCGGATTCGCTGAGTCACATCTCTTCAGCGAACTATCATTGAGAAAAGCTGCAATAGTCAACCACTGCAGTTCTGATTCATCGAAGGTTCCTGGTTGGTCTTAGGCAAAAACCATAAAGTGTCTATAAATCAATGAACGATTTTTATCTATGGCAGCCTTCAGCCCATGGTGTGCTGTCTTTAGAACAAACAACCCAATTGCAGTGTCTTTCAGAAGATCGAGGGGGGGGGTCTGTAGTACCCCAAAAATTGCACTTGAAATTAAATTTGTTGGTCCAGTGAACGCATACAATTAGCAGAGGAAGTTCCGTGGTGAGGCTAGGAAGCGAAAGTGACGTCGATTGCGCTCTCCACCCGTAGCCAGGTACATACTGCTTGGAAAAGAGCTGAGGGGTTCTGTATGCACTCGCCTATCCCACCGCTTATTTTTACGTGCAGTTTTTTGGATACTGTATCCCGCCTATTTCCTTAAAGGCAGTTGGCACGATAATTTCCTACTTAGCCTAAAATGCTAGTAGGGCGCTGTATAGTGGGGAAATGGCGAAAGAACGGAGTGAAACGGTCAAAATCCGGCGAAGAAAGCCGTTCTCAGTGACTTGTAAATCGATTTCGGACGAGTTTCCCGTACGCACCTTGCCAATCACCGCTACCGAAGGTACGGCTGCATATATGTATGTACCCATGTATGCATGCAGCATCACGGCCGCTTCATACCAATCCCTTCGCTTCATAATTTGCTTAGCAAATGAATGAGTACGAGCGTCAGGAACGGTCGTCCGTTTGTGGGCGGGCGGGCAAGGAAGGCGTTTGGGACGTAAAGTTGTTGCTCAATAGGGCGCTATAGAGGTACCCTCCTTGGAAAAGGTTTCACGCAGCGCCTGTCCGAGGTCACGGAATTCTGTTGAGCCAGTTGTACAAATCCTACACCTGTATAGCGATTTATCGTGCCAACTGCCTTTAAACTTATGGCCCATATTTTAACACGCTGAAACGCCGGGGAGGGCAGCACAACTTATTTTGAGGAATGTAATAGAATGATGGCCGAATATCTACACCAATCCCAAACCCATTCCTCCACTGGGCGTTGGCAAGTAGCTTTTTCACCAGTTGCTGTCGCCTGCTCTCTTCAACAAAGTAGGGCAAACCGGGGCATGCCCGAGCCGTCCTACTTCCGCGACACGGGTTCAGCATCCATAAGCGAACAACAGTTTCGCTCGCAAACGCGCGATGGGTCTATGAGAAGAACACTAAATAGAAGCGTGCGTTCAGAAGAAGCACGGCAAGCAGGGGAGGAGATTGCAATTGATGTCATGCCACTTGGTGGTAAATGCAGTACATGTGTTGGTTGCGGATTTTGTTTCGTAATTTGCGATTTTTTTTATGTGTTGGTCTCATCATTTTAAGATGTCCTTGTACAAGAAGGGCAAATTTCACGCGCGTGGCATTCGCACCAAGGCTGATTTTCATAAGGAAGAGCAGCGATATGCCGAGTCACCTAGCTAGGAAGTTGCTAGTTTTACATGTCGCAGTAATGATCTCACCCGAGCGAGCGAAAAAGGAAATGGGGGCATCTTCACATTGGTCAAAATCGCTTGAGCCTTGAAATATACTCGAAATCCCTGAGATCGGTAGGCGTGGCCTCCTGTTTCAATTTACCCGAAGGTGTCTATGCTTCTGGTGAGATATTTTCATCTTGACACAGTTGTTCCAACGCAGAACAAGATGTCAGTTGTCCCGGACTGGGATATCCCACAAGTAACCAGTTCCGTGCCATGTTTAAGGGCCACGCCTACTCTGTCTCAGGGATAAGGAGTGTAGCTCCTCGCAAGAGAAGTGCGTCGTTCCTGGGCAGGTAGCGTGGCAATGGCAAAAATCCAATTTGTAACGGCACCTTTTCAAAGGACTTACTACGCAGGCCTCAATGAAACGCTGGTTCCAACCTAGCCGACTAGTTGGCCAAAAGAAGTAAGAAGCATGTTCTGTTAAAGATGATTAATTTTTAAGAGAACTGGGCCTGGCAACTTTCTCGCAGTTTCCTAAATATAATGAAATGCAGCAAACACCTCCTGATGCACAGAAACGCTGCTGAAGGGATCAGGACAGCTTTTGGGCAGTTGTGGGGATCAACCCAATCTTGGGAACAACCGGGAGGCGGGCAAGAAAATCGTCAGTTGCCGCTTCGTCGCGCGCGGTTATGGGACTGGAGCATCGAACTTCATGTAGACAAGGAAATGGTAGACACTTATGTCTATTTTTGGTCATACATTGTCTATTTTTGACCGATACTATCTAAAATCATCGTTATTATCGGGCGCAACGTCGCACGCGACGCCCACAGGCGCGGCGGATTACGATTCTCTTCCTTGCCAACTCCGGAACAACCGCCTTTTCTCAAAGCCATGTTAGCTTCAGTAACCCAGCAAAGTTTTTTACGGACTACCAGGTGGATCACGCTGAAGCCCTTATCAAATCAGCTTGCAACAACCTGACGTAAATATTGCGATTTTAGGAAGAACCGTTCGTGATAAAGAATTCTAACAACGAATATGAAGGATTCTGCATCGATCTTCTTAATGAGATGGCGGCCATTCTGAAGTTCAACTACACGATCATCGAAGTTCAAGATGGAAGCTACGGCATAGAGGTGCGCCACAGGCTTTGTCTGAGATTTCTTTTTTCAGAATTCTTTCTTCAACCTGAACTTTATTCCGACACCGAACAATGAGATGTGTACTTTCAAATGTGTGATACTTGCAGGACGAGTCAGGACGATGGAACGGCATCATCGGCGCCTTGCAAACGGCATGAAGCCGATGTCTCCATCTCAGCGGTTACGATCACTTACAGTAGGGTGGAAGTCGTTGGTTAGTGGGGAACACCCGATCCTTATTTCTCTGCGAGTCTTGATAGATGGTCTTTTTTTTCGTTGAACGTTCCTAATTTGCATCTTTTTTTAGACTTTACACTGCCATTCATGCATCTGGGTATTTCAATTCTTCTTGCTCGAACAAATGACGATTCAGAAAAGGTGAGCTATTGTTCGATGACAAATGCTCGGTGCAGATGATTCTCGCACCGCATACCATACTTCTGAACGGCACTTTGTCTTCTCAATGTTCTGAGAGTATGCGGAAAGCAGAATAGCACTAAAGAAGCACAATTCCAGTAAAAAGGGACTTAACAAGAGGATCTTCCAGGTCGAACTAACTGAAGTAACTTTCA